TTTTTTTCTTTCGAGTCGAGAGCAGCAATTTTGAGCACCGTTACGATGAATGTTCGGCCATCATTCGAAAAATTTCTGCATTTATATTCCGTTATACTGCGCGTTATTTCTTGTAATGAGCATATAAATACGCAAAAGTTTAGACAGCTAACCGTGGATTTTGCTACGCTAGTAGCCACGGAATTTCAATGGGTTGATTATACAATGACTACGCACAATGCAGTATTTCATTCAGCCGAGCTCATTCACCGAAACAATGACATTGGACTTGGTGAACTTAGTGAGGAGTGTTTGGAGAGTTGCAACAAAGATATAAGAAACTATCGGGAATTTTTTGCTCGAAAATCGTCACATATTGACAATTTAACTGATATATTTCGGCGTCTTTTCTTACGGAGCGATCCAGTTGTGACCTACACAGTTCAGCACGCCTGGGCTAAGCGCAAGAAAAAAGACAAAGTGGTTTTAACATGTTTAAATATGGATGATACACTATTTGACAGCCTAATTTTTAAAGATTGACCGCTTTTTACCATCAATTCAGTCTAAACTTTGCATTATGTTTCCCCTAACGGCAAACCTGACGTTATTGAAATAGGCGTGGGGGAAAATAATGGAGTCCGACTTGTGCAAAGGCCTTGCATTTACTATCGGGAGCACTTGATGAGCCCGCCTTTCCATCAGGGCCGACTCATCACTTGATAGTAATTGGGAAACGCCTTTGCACGAGCGGATGGCACGTATAACAATGATTCCTTTTTTTAGTCTCTTTTGGTTTTTCCTAAGGATTAATGAATTCCTTGTGCAATAATTGATTCAACATTTTTAGTTTCCCATTTTTTCCTCCCAAACGCACCTTTAAATAGCTTTTCTGTAGAAACCGAGCGAAAATTTGTGGAGGCGTATGTCGTGGGAATTGTCCGCCTTACCATCAGGGCTCGCACTCCTCGCATACGGCGAAATAGATTTTTGCAAGGAATTGGCGGAAAAGTTATTCGAAGGTGCAAAAGTCCCCGAACATATCTTTCCAATTGTTAAATCATTTAGAGTCGTGAACCGTTCATCTAAAGGTTTTCTGCCAGTCAGAAGCGAAAAATAATCAGTCAGAAAACTCAGACAAGAAAGATAGACGAGACGAAAACTTCCGGATAGCGAGAATTTAGATAAAACCAGGGAAAAAAGAGAGCAAGATTTAGCAAAGAAGGCAACGATAAAAGAAAATCTAGAAAATTTAGTTCAAATGAATGAGCTACTGGTAAATACAATATACGGACACAATTAAGATTGACAGGAAATTTTAATTTAAATATAAACTCGTCAAAAACATTTCTTTAAGTAAATTATCGCGATATAAACCTAAACCGAACTATGGTTGAAAACCTTTAGATGAACGTGTACCCATTCTAATACGTTATAACAATTGGAAAGATATGCTCCTCAGTGACTTGACCATCAATAACTATATTCAACGGTCAAGGGGTGGTGGTGGGCACTGATGGGAGAGGTCTCATCTCTTGCACTGATGATTAGTTCACGAACTGTTATCTTTTCTCGCTTGTTTTCGTACAGAAAAGGTTTTCCGGAAGTCCGGATTTCCAAAACCCCCCGCAATAACTCTCTAAGCATTTGATAGTAGTCAAGTTTGAAGCAGCACACGCAGAAACCTATAAACATTAAGGATTTTGCCAGCTACAGCACTTTTAACCACAAAACCTAAGTGGTTTTCTAGAAAACCCCTTTCAAAAACTCCTGCTGTTCCGAAAAGTATTCCATGTGAAAGAGCACACTCGAAAACCTATAAAAATATAGAAACTTGCCCGGTCCACCCTTTTTTAGACGAAAAAACCGTCAAAAACCCAAAAGGTTTTCTAGAAAACCCTTTTCAAAAACACCTATTGCTCTGAAAAGTATTCCATGCGAAAGAGCACACTCAAAAACCTATTTTTACTGAGTTTTAAGTTGATTGGATGCATTTAAACCCAAATGTCCGCCTGCCTAGCCAAAATTGCCCACTGTGTGGATCCGTTTTACCTACTGAGACGACTTTACTCACTGAAGACCCACTTTATTTTTTACAGTGCGGTCATCAAAATTCGAATTTATTCACCGATGAATATTTTCACTAGATTGGAAAGGAGATTGAGAACAGTATTATTTAATCCGCCTGAAGAAAAGAATATGGAACTATCATATAACAGAAAGAACATGTATGTATACATTCTTTTCTGTACTATACTTCACTTATTTGATTTGTGTATTTAACCGGTATTATTTGTGTTGGTATTATATTGTGTTAATCTGCATCTATAGTTAAACTAAGAATATAGAAATAAAGAACATTAAATATAAATATTTTATATATGACAAAAGAGAAACGTTCAGAAAAAAGCTTAACCTTTATTTATTTTTATACAAAAATAGTTAGACATTTTCCAGAGACATCCATAGTTCATTAGCATTACGAATTGTACTCTAGGTCCAGTTCATTCTTCTTTTAAGAGAAGGTACCATTCAGTTTTTGAGTTATACGACTGCCAATATCACTGCTCAGCATACGAAAACTAGGTTCGATGAAAATTTCAGAAAATTTAACAAGTTAAAAGTTTGTTGATACTTTTTGTAAATTAATCTGGGATGTACGATATTTTTTTTTGTTTTGTTGACGAGGACTGTTCCCAAAATCAACCGTATACAACAAGCAAACTGCTTGTATGGGTGATTATTCGGAATTTAAACATTTTCTTTCTTATCTGAAACTCGACTTTACTGGTCATTATAAAGAAAACAATAGAAATAGTAATGTATACACATTGAATATGCCGGGGATTTTCTAGTTTATAGAAATTCGATTTTGATTTTCTATAAATTAGAAAATGCTCGACGATAAGAGCGTCACGTAAAGACACTTATATTATACTTAAATCAACTTTGACAGTTTCTGCTTTAAATCACAATTCTGCGTATGCCAGCAAGAGTTTTGATTTAGGCAGAGACAGTGGTGGCACGAAGTTTTGGTAGCAAGGTCCGAAAATCGCAGACGTTCACCAGAAATTTCTCAAAAACATGAGCAGGGTCAACCCCCATATAACCTGGTCGTCCCGCCACTTGGAGCAGAATTTCCAGTTTAATTGAAAATCAAAAAGAAATTTCTGAAAATTATTTATGGAAATTCAACGGCGATTTTCTGATAAACTGAAAAATCAAGGAGGAATTTCCAGATTCTTAGAAATTCGACTTTCTATAAACTGGAAATTCCTCAGGAAATTCCCATAGGTACTCTCTGAAATTCGGCGAGCATTTTCCATAAATAATTCCCAACTTTACAGTGTAGTTGTATTCATAGATATTAGACATAGCCGATTACGTTGTGCATCGAAAATATTTCACCAAGGTAATCGTGATTTTTACGCAAGGATCTCCCTGTTTAGATTTCACCCTTTCCTGCACTATAGTTCAACTCAGTTCACCTTCGAACTTCAACGAAAGCCATCTTTTAGATCTTTCTTCCTTCTTCGCTCATACAGAAGTAAACAAAGAAAGCAAGAAAACGAGAAAAGAGCAAATTTTGTATTTTTATATGCTCAATCAATTGTCGTGTCTATGAATTGAGACAAACGTTTTTCTAAGTTGATCAATACGTTTTCAGCGAATTCTGAATAATCACTCATACTCCCGGTTTGCGTGCTGTGTACGATTAAGTTTAGAATTTAGCAACAGCTGGAAGTCCTCGCCAAAAAAATAGTAATGTATACATATTGAATGAGAAAAAATAATACATGCCAGATTAGTTTACAAAAGTATCAACAAACTTTGTTTGTTGGTCTCGTCACTCTCTTTCTTTTTGTGAAGATGTAATAATGTGTACTCTTTCTATCGCTCTCATATCTTTCTCTTTTCTTTCTTACTCTGTTTTTTCTATATTAAATTAACTTGGTATATGTTTTGCACTTACATAACAAGAAAAGGTTGTACATAAACTCCGTAATATCCTGCCTGAATATCATGGCCCGAAGAGAAAACCGAAAGTCACGGTAGTTCACAGAACATATATGTGTATGTTTTTCGCAGTACTATGCTTGGCTTGATCCAAACTTGGTCCTGTTTATCACTTCGATTTTCAGTGTCTTTTGGTGGACTCCGATCGAAAATTCCGTGTCTGATTTTAAAGAATTTTGTTTTTATTAAGATAAAGAGATCTTTTCGGCTGAGACATATTGATTTGGAGAAAATTTATAGAATTTGTCTTAGTAAATGTTAGTTTCTATTATCTTGATTTTTCTGTTTCTAATTATAGGAAATCATTCGAATTCATCGCAACTTTAAATGTTGTGTCGGTTGTTGTTGGTGTGCAAATGCTGATTGTTGTGCACATGAAGTATATGTTGAATCCCCGCCCGGTGTTCTTGTTGGTACTGTTAGACAAGAGTAAGATCTCTTTTACAGATTAATACATTTAATACCTACTAATTAATCTGTCTTTATAGATGTAGTTACTGGCGTGGTCATTTAACGTTGAGAGATGCAACAGGACAAGATATACTAAAAGCGCTTGGACCCTGTTGCATTTGTAACGGCCCTTTGTGTTGCTGTTGTGAAAATAAATTTACGGTAGATCAGTAGCATTTCTTGCAAAAATGTGATTTTTATCCGATGCCATTTTGTAGTTGTTTACCCGTGATGGACAGGAGGAAAAAGGTGCTATATACAAACAATATGCTGGATTTGTTAATGAAGCGTTTACAAATGTTGAAAAATATACAATTGAATGTGAGTACATTTGACGATCAATTCAACTTCTTTCTGAGACATTTGTATAATTTTTTTCTTTTCTAGTTCCCATAGAATTAACGGTTCAAATGAAAGCAGTTGCATTAGCCACATTATTTCTTGTTGTAAGTATAACTAATTAAGATATGATCTATTTTTTAAATACTGATCATTTTTATTTATTTAGAATTTTATGTATTTTGCTGGCAGAAAAAACGAACAAACCGGTGCTGATACAGCATGCGATATTCTCTCTTGCTTGTGTTAGATGAGAACTGTCCATAAAGTTTGCACCTTTCAAGTGTACATACATATTTTTCCCCCTCGCTAAACTATTACATGTTTAGCCTTACGTAAATTGGTTCAGTAATAAATCAGTAGTATTTATAATACTGATAAACAGAAAAATTGTTTGACTTAACTTAGGCTCGAATAGAGAAAAGCTAATCTCTACGCTCACATGTTCGATCCAAAAAATCTGCTTTTTCATTCACAAGAAAAACATTATCCACATTTCAGAAAGTACTTTAGATACACAATTTAGGATAGCGGTTCTGTTATCAACTCAAAGCAGTAGCCGGATCAAACATGGATGGTTAATAAATAATTTCGAATGTTCCTTTCTTCCGTACAATCTTAGATAAATAAATGTATGTCGTGCTCCACAACACCATTGCTGACAGGTTTCGGATTCTACAAAGGATAGATATAAAGAAAGTTTTTAAGAGATAAGCATCGAGGTGTCTTTCGATATCTTCCCATGCAAAATAAACAAGTTGTCCCAACTTATTGAAAATTTGAAATTTTTGCGCTGAGGATAAACCAATAAGCGCTATCAAAATAAATGTTTTACTATAGATATAATCATTCTGAACAGCCTGTGATACATACTTTCTGATAAACTAAAATCTTGATTAAACCCTAACCAATCTAATTCCGCCAAATAGTTTAGTCCAGTTGGTACACCGGGTTGAATTGAACGAGGTACCGAAGTCCGATTGTTCGAAAACTGTTTTGATAGATTTCTTTAAGTCTACGATTAGATTATAACTTGACATACTCTAGAATACGCATAGATCAGAATCTCTCGGGGAGACTCGAGCGACTGAATATCTTGAGACCCATGGCTGAAACACCTAACAGAATCAGCATAAAACATTATCTACAATCATGCATGGTTCAGGGTACAAGCGATGGATCCCTTGGGCTACTTCGTAAGTCTAGGTCAAGACTTAAGTGTACACTTTAGTCTTGACATACGTAGACTTTTAATTTAAAGATTCCTGTTGAAAGAGCTCCCCGAGTAGCGTCATCTACTATCCGCCCACCTTTACATCGACGGATAGGTGGCTTTTCTCTATGTAGCTTGTCTTTGGTGAATTTCATTTATTTAAGAAATATTTAAAACCCTACTCTTTCAAGCAAAACTATTATAAATGTATTTTTACCTGGGCCGTAATCGAAAAATTATTTATCGTGTTGCAAAACAAAATCTCAGTTTCTTTCTGATTTAAACAGAAGAAACAGGATATTTTAAATCTACACGTTTTTCTATTTAATTGCATCAGGTTTCTCAAGATAATTATGATCAAGCAAGAATTATACATGAAATATAATACAAAAACGATAGGAAAAAAAAACCTAATGAAATTAAATAGAAAAACGCGTAGATTTAAAATATCCGGTTTCTTCCGTTTAAATCAAACAGAACGTGAGATTTTGTTTTACGACACGATGAATAATTTGTCAATTATGGCCTAGGTAAAAAATATTTATAATAGTTTTGATCGTAAATAGAAGTTAGAAGTCAGTTTTTCCAAACTTATTAGACGCTCTACATATTCCATAGCGATTTGAGTTCTTAATTCTTACTAATTCTGTACTTTCTTCAAAATATACACAATAAAGATTTTACTTTTATCTTCCTAATCAATGTTTCACTCACATAGTGACGTAATCTTACCCTAGGAATAGTTTATATTTTTCATCACAAAAGCTTCTCTACCCCAGCACAACCATACCTCATTGATGGTGATTGGAGAGATAAGGGTACTTCCGCACAGGTCCGCCCAGTATTACATGAGCTAAAAGCTGGGCAGGTTTGAACATATGCAATCGATAGTCCTACTAAAGGTATGGAAAGACCACTGTTGGCCCATGGAAAAATTATTCCGAACACGGTTTTTCCTCGATCATAAGTTCTGAATTGAAGCGTTTTTAGGGGTGTCAGAACAGCTTTCCTTTATTAGTAACTGAGGATTTTGACGAGGTTTCTTGGAAACCGTCACAAGAAAAACCATCTAGCCAAAGTCAGTACTATGCGCCTTCTGTGGCACTAGTCGAGTAGTGTGTGGGCTAACAAGATCTCGAAGAACCGACGGGTAGTTTGAAGGGAGGAGGCCAGGAAGGGCCAAAGTAGGTCTCACGGCTACGCTTACAATAAAGAAGTAAAAAGTGCTAGAGACTTCCTTGTTGCGTCATACGAACAAACTTGGAAGCCGCTTTCATTTGAATATAAATAGAGTTATGTTTTGTTGGGTTTTGAGCTCGTCCAGCACGCTATAAAACGAGTGACATCTGCTAATGCAGTGAAGGTCCTCCAGTCAAAAATTCTTTCCTAATGTCAGAAGAGAAAACCTCATTTGCGGATAGAAATATGCAACTTTGTATGCTCTTTCCAGCTAGTAGTATGAGAACGCTTGATAGTATTAGATAAGGTCAGATTTCGCTGTTCTGGCACCCCTAAAAACGCTTCGATTCAGAACTTACGATCGAGGAAAAACCGTGTTCGGAATAATTTTTCCATGGGCCAACAGTGGTCTTTCCATACCTTTAGTAGGACTACCGATTACATATAATCAGACCTTGCCGGTTTTAAGTCGTGTATAAAGTGGGCGGACCTGTGCGGAAGTACCCATAAGCTTTTATTTTTTTACGTAAAAATGTTCTATGAGATTTTTTGCTCCTTGACAAAAAGAATGAGATTGTTGTTAAAAAGTGTTTTCTGGTGGAAAAGACTGTATGAAGATTTGTGTTTTTAAGAGGAAATATGAAAAATGACATAGATATTTTCATGTTAAACATTGAGGAGGCGATTACTGCTCCTGCGTGATTCGAATTTTAGGATGTAGAAAAGAAATCAAAAGTTAGAATATATTTTGTTCTATTTGTTACTCGATGTCCTAATATTCATTTTGTGTTGCCTATATAAACGATAAAAATGCGTAAACTATGCATCTTGATTTTTCTGTCGATATTTTGCAAGCGCCTCATTGACGTAAATAAGGCCGTTTAGTCTGGAGTTTCTGAATGAGTTAAACCTAAGAGCTCAGATAACCAAACAAGCTCGTTCAAAACAAAAACAATATCATACAACACATGAGCTTCGAAAGTCTTTTCTAAAAAGCTGTTACTACTGTTTCTTCAAAAATATAATGTCAGTCACTGTTTCTTGAATAAATATTGAGTGAAAACAGCTAAAAGATATGCGGTTTCCAGTTTCTGAAAGTAGACACCAGAGGACGTAAGTCTATGGAAAAATATACTTAAAATACCATCTGTAGTGGTGTACCTCATCGATCTTCGAAAGATTAGGTCGCCAGTGAACGAGGTAACTTATAATGTCATCGTTTTCCACCCATTTTCTCTTGGCTCTACGCAGTTGCTGCTTCTCCTCATTTCTTATGTTAACAAAGAAACTGGTGTCACCTACTCTCATCATCAGTAAACGAGCGTTTTACGGGTAGGAACAAAAATATGTTTTTGAATGCTATTAAATGGATTCGAACGATCATGCTGTCTCAATCTACATAAGTACTAGGTTCACAGCGATCACCATTCGTTGTTCTCAACCACCTTAGTTTCATCAAGTTAGATCCAGTGCGGACCTTGCGTCTTTCATCTCATGAAATTGTTCTACTCTGATCCACCGTGTAAAACTGAGTATAAAAAAATATTCAAGGTAATCAAAGCCGTTTATTTTATTGAAAAAAATAAGTTTTAATGTTATGCAGGTTTTGATATTATTATCTCCCGTATTTTTGTATTTGGTTCTATTTAAAAGCCTCATCCGAGACCATGACTAGTAGTCGCTATAAAAATTATTTCTCGATTTTGTCCATTGTTGCATGGTTTCTTTCAGTGCAGCTTTTACTTTACATTCGTCAATCGTTGTCGTTCGAGTTTTTCATTGTGCTGGCATTAGGAAGATTAACATACCTTATATTGTTATGCTATTTAATAAAAAAGATATTCGAGTATAGTGGATGTTACATTATTCTGGGGTGTGTGTATTCCATCTGTGCACGACACAACAACAAAACAGAGTAAAACCACGAATATATAAGCTCAAAACAACAGCAGATCGTTGTACGTATTATGGATTAGCAAGTGCTAACATTTCTGATGCACTAATTTCTCGTCTATAAACATACAACTCATCCAGTGATCCTTGAAAAGCATAATTAGGCACATTAGCACATCCACAACAACCAAGATTGGAACCAAAATTTAAATAATCTATGTAACCATTATTGTAAAAGCTGGAGACAGCTAGCGTTAGATACGCTGCACCATTGTAATAGAGTATCATACCATTTGTTGTCGAATAGGTATAGCCGATGTGTGTCCAAGTGTTAGTCGATAACTGTGGCCCAACTATAGATGGATTATTGCTATAATATGCCTGTACTATTATTTGACCACCTAAAGTTATGCCCATGAGAGAAAGACAACTACTACCGGTACTTGTACTTGAGAAATGTAATAGTGTACCACCATAAGTGGAAATTGGATTGATCCACATGGCGACTGAAAATGGTTTTGCAGAAATAAAACCCCATTGATAAAAGCCGTACAATTGAACGTATGACGAAGCGCCATTTAATCGTATAGCCTGATTTACTCTCCCGCTAACTGTGGCTCCATTTGAAATTGTACAATTGAGGCCGTTTGGACCATTGTCCAACGATGGAGTTGGGTTATCAAATGAGAAATAAAAACTCAAAGTTCCATCGGCGAGAATTTCTGTTGCAGATTTTGCTCTTGTCGTAAGAGCAACATTATCGATGTAACCATTGAAGAAACTACTTGAAGACAAAATTGCTGACGTACCAATGGTTATTGATCCATTTTGACCTTGATAGGGTGACACATTCGATTGTATGGCGTCTTGCACACCGTCTAGATAAAGAATCTGTTGTTGTGTTTGATAATTGTAAACGTAAGCAAGATGATGCCAGACATTGGAAGACAAGACAGTTGTACCCGACAGATAATTGGGTGAGAAACCCATAAACATGCGGCTACCACGTAGAATCAAATACAGGCAAAGATTTGTACCAACACTGCTTTCACATTGTCCAAGAATATCATCGTCACCACCAACTGCTGTGGGATATATCCACGCTTCAACCGTCCAACTCGTATAGGAAAAATTGAAGAATGTACTGTTAATGAGGACTGATTGATTTAATGACGATTGAAGATAGAGAGATGCACCGACCCCAAAATAGGGTGTCGCTGCATTTGTACTGGCCGGTGATGTATAGTATGTGGCACCATTGATTAGCACTCCGTTATACACCCCATATAAATCTTGTGTGGTATTGTCAAATGACCAATACGCCGAAGTGACATTATAAGACGTCGATGTTGTGGCGTTGTCTGAACCTAAAAATGCACAAATGTCGAAAAAGCTTTTTATATTTAATTCTTCTCTCAATTGTACCATGTGGTCGAGTAAATATAACTGCGATTGTTACAACAGTGGCAATAATAGCTAGTGCACACGCTATAACCAAACTTCTCACCAAACATTTTTTTGTTAACCATCTAAATGAATAATGAAACGGAAAGAAAGATTTAAACGGTGCAAGTATGCCATTGTGAAGAACGTACGTAGATTTTTGACTAGATACTGTATGAAGTTTGCTTTGTTTTAAAATTACGACAGATGGTGATACAATTTTGTCTGATCTTCCCTAAGTAAAAACGCGATGAATGAATCGGTTTATGCTGTTTACTTTACTTACATTTCGGGGCGTCTTCTCACTTCTAACCGAAGAGTTTATCGATACTGGTGAATTTAATATTTGATATTGTCGTTCATTAGAAAAAATCTGACGTTTTATAGGTCGAGGAACATGAGATGAACTACTTGATAGCATGATTTATTCAGCGTGTTGCTTCAACTTTACACACATACATTCGATCGAAGTTTCTTTCTTGTTAATGTGTAACAAATGTATGTTTGTGTCTGCGTTTAGTAGAACAAAGTGCATACAACTGATTGTAGATAGGATTATATCATTGAAGATTACTTATACTCAATAAACTATTGTTTCTCGGAAAAGAAAACATAATGTTGAAACGTAACAAAGCAATGTGATGCCAGAATGAGGAGAAAATGATTTTTGTATGTATATGCTTCACTATGGAGGCTGATAATACAAACTCAACTTAAAACTCGTATAATTTTGTTTAGGCTCGAAAAAACGTTTTTCTTACTAGCAACCGCTCGTTTGTGGTGTCAGTTTATACTAGAAAGAAAGTTATTTTTTGATCTAGAGCTTCAATCCTTCGTTATAGCAATTATTATCATATGCAGTAATGTTCTTTTGAAGAAGCAATCGGTCGTAATGCATCAACATGATAAAATGCCCCGATATGATGAACCCGATTTTTAAATGAAACATTGAAACAAAATGCGAAAGAGATAGTAATCACCAAAAATACAACGCAAATAACCTCTTTTTCTGATTCAAAAATTACATTGTTTGGATGCTATACTTTAAAATTTAGATTAACTTGATAGTTCTTGTTCCTAGTTCTTGAAATGTATTGTCGAGATATTTTGCTGCATGTACAATTAATAAAGAATATAGAGAGCTTCTTTTCTAAACTTCTTTATTTTGGGCAAATTTTGCTTTTGTTAAACTCAACGCATATTTACTATCAGCAATGTAGACTTTTTTTGAAAAAAAATGTACAGAATTAATTGAAACTTTCTGAAAATTGATACAGATAGGTAAAACATAACTTATAGTTCAATAATCATATTTTCAGAGTTATGACAAGATTATAAGAAGGTCTCTGAAAGATCTGCAGGAATTTTTCAAAGTTTCTTCATACAAAATTCTTCCCCATTAGGTGGCCTAAATAAGACCATGTGGAAGTGGATTTAGGTAGTAATATTTCTTAACTTAGACAAGTGTATGAGTTCTAGTTCGAGTTCTGACTTCTGACGCATACGCTGAGAAAGAAACGTTACCATTGCATTGTTATACGATGCAAAAGAACTGGAAAAAATATCGAGCATTATTTCTGCATGTTCCTGATGCGCTGGCGATTTAATTGTTTTTCTGTTAGAAAGAGCAAAGTCTGAACTTCAAAGAACATGGAAAACAAAATTTTGAACTCTCATCAAAAGTATTTTTTCACTCTAGTAGAGTTTGAAATTATGTAATTATAGAAACTAGAAGTGTTTTTATTGCTCTTTTGTGTCAGATGGGATAAATTATCTTTCGATCTACTTTTCAATTAGAAATTCGTGAGTTTTTCATTTGTTTTAGAAAAAGAGTTGATTAGGCTTAATCAATAATTTTCATATACTAAATGAACTTTGTCCTTTTACTAAAACACATTTTCTGAAACAGCATTCAATTCCCTGTGAGGTCACATTAATTTTAATTCTTGTTGACACATCTTAAGTCCTAATAACAAATTTTCTTAATATCGTGCCTTTCTAATGAAAAGTACAGTTTTATACCAAATCTGACTTTTGTAATACGTTTTTTTACTATTCAGGAGTTAATGAGAAATTCTCGACAGTATATGGATCAATACGGGTTTGCCACGACGACATTCTCATGTATTTAGTTTTCAAAAAGAGTTTTCTCCTCAAATTGCAGTGAAAAATTAAAGAGAAAAGTGCTGTGCAAAAGAATTTTAGGCGATGTTTGATATTTATATTTTTTCTCACTCAAACTCAATTACAAAAATTTTTTTTCTATGCTCTTTGAAGTTCAGACTTTGCTCATTCTAACAGAAAAACAATTAAATCACCAGCGCATCAGGAACATGCCCAAATAATGCTCGGCATTTTTACGATTTCTTTTGCATCGTATAACATGTTAGCCATGTTGCATATTCTTTCTACTGCATTTTTTTACTTATTCATAAGAAATGTGTATGTCTCAGCAGTCGAAAGAATTGTTAATGTTTAAGTTCACAATGCTTCTAAAATTGAAAAACAGTAAGTTCATTATATAAATAAAGAGCGGCAGAAATGAAAAAAACATGATCTCAACTACGTAGAAGCAATACATTTGTCGTCATGAAATTATATATACGTCAGTGTTCCGTTAAATGAATTTGGTATACTTATTTGACGTAAAGTTGGCAAAGAAAGAAAAATATGTGTGCACTTAGCGAAGCGGTCAAAAATAAGTCCACTCGTAGATATAGATCAATATCATTTTCCTTCCTTTTTTTGTCTCTGGTTTTGCTCAGAGGTGGGCAAGTTCAAGTCCGGACTAATAGGCTTTTCTCACACGGACTGCGACTGAAAAAATACCGGACTTGTCCATTTCTCTGCTTTAGTATAACAAAAAGGAAACAAAAAGTTGTCTTATTCTTGTTTTTCAACATTCAAAAACCTTTAAAGAAACAATCATGTAAAGCAACAGAGTCTTTGATAAAAAGAGATCTATTTATAATATCAGTTATAATGTGTATTTATATATCCGTTTTCAAATCAGATAATCAATTTTACCGCATTATGAAGATGCTTTTCTTTCCAACGAAAGAACAGATTGTTCGCTGATGGTATGTCATTATATGCAACTGACTCAAATGTTCATACCAAATGCTACTGCTAGAATGAACTTGGATTTGGCGGTGCTCTATAAACGGTCGTGTGATTCGTGTTTACCTACTAACTTTATAAATGCTTTCATACGTTCTTTACTATGCTCCCTAAGCCTAATATACCTTCATTGTTTATTGGCGGTAGTAAACTAGAATTGGTACACTTCCATACATACCTTGGGCTTGGTTTTACGTCAGACTTAGATTGGACGTTCCACATTCATATCGTCGTAGCTAAGTGTTACAAGATAATTAGATCTATGAAATTACTTAGCCGCATTGTTTCTCGTCAAGCTCTTCCTTTAGTTTACAATTCATTCGTTCTATCTGTTTTATTGTATGCGACTGTAACATACTCGGATTTATTATTAATTGCTCCCCCTCTACTCATTCTCACCCGCACCCCTGGTGAGTGCGTTGTCTAGTGCCCTATCTATTCCCACTCACAAAACAATCCCAGTTCAGAATCCCTACAAATCAACAATTTATTATCAACGAATTACTAATACAAATAATTTTAACAATAATGAAAGTCTGTTCTTCTTCAATTAATGGAGAACAGTAATAATTAAATGTTGTTGCACAGTTGCTAACGTTGGTGAGGAGGTGGAGTGAAGAAGAGAATGTGCAAACGGAAATTATTGCGGTGCAAGAAGCACAGTTAGAACGAAAATACTAAATTATATTTTGTAAATAAGAGAAATTATTTAACTTGAACGAGATAAGAAGATGTAATGTAGAATCGAGCTCCTCCTTCTCTGAATGTGAGAGAAGAAGAAGTGATTTGAATTTGAAGTTTAATCAGAAGAATTCTCTCTCTATAAATGTGAGAGAGTAAGAAGAAGAAGGAGAGAAGAGATGTTACTTTTAAGTTGAAAAGTGACAAGAATGATTAAAGAATCGAAATTTACTTTCGATTATGACTTGTTTTTCGTTTTGTTCCTTGGAAACGACTAGTATTATTAATAAATAATAAATAATTTTTTTCTATAATCTCTCCCTAAAGTCCGCGAAACTTCGAAGTTTTAAGAATTTCTAGAATGTGCGATAAAATCAGGGAAGGAGAATAATGTAATGGCAATGAGCCGTTACACCCTTCACCAAAAAATAGTCATAGTAGGCATTTCCGGTATAGCGTGCAGGTATCAAATTGTTTACGAATAAATCTTACTCTCACCGATTATTAATGTTTTTCAGTTATTAGAAAATAATAAAAGGAAAGTAATTGTTCAAAAAAAATGTCCATTTTTCTTTACATTTTTCTTCTAATCGTATGTCGCGAATTGCCCGTTCCAGAGAACATCTTCGCTGTGGCTTACAATATAGTTCCTTATCTTGGTCTTCGTAAATTTTCGGGAAGCCCATGAGAGCATTCGATCATACAGTTGAATTGCTCTATCCAGAAGCAGTGGATATACCAACAAAAAGACTCGCACTCGAATCAGTTTGAGATTCATTTACTTATTTGTCAATGTCTAAAGAAACGCCTGAAGATCTCAAAACTATTTTATACCTCCAAATGGCTGTCTCCCGGTTCACTCGGTACACTTGGACAAATATCTACGGCTCTCGGACTGGATCATTTCCTCGGTTATGCTCTCGCGCGGCCTGGAAGCTTTTCTATGATAAGCAAAATTGTTATATATCTTCTAAAATTGCAAAACCGTCTTTAAGTATCCTTTTTGGAAATTTTGTTTCGTTGTCAAGAAATGCACTTTTTTCAAAAGCAGCGGAAAACAATGAAATCGGACTCGTAGTTTGCCGTTTCCTGTATTAATATTCAACTTTTCGACAAAACAATGTCATTTCGAAATCAGCATTAAACTGAGTTCAATGAAACGAATTTTCCGATACGGATACTTTAGGATGGTTTTGCATTTTTAGAAGACGACCATAGGTAATAATTTTGCTTATCATACAAAATATTCGTCATTCTTGTCCATTTTGAAAAAATCAATATTTTAAAATGTTTTCTCCCAAACATGACTTCCAAAAATCGGACGGAACTCAAGTTTTCTCAAGATAACTCGAAGAGCGCTAGCGTAAAAAAAACGAAAAAAACATTCTAGTTTGTGGAATTTCTGACGCTTTACATTATTCAAAAGGATTTGTATTCGATTAATCTGTAAGTAAGAAAACCAACACTAATATTTAAATAAAGATATAAGAATGTGGAGATGATACCCTATTTGAAAAATCTCATAGTTCTACCCTTAGGCCAATAAACTGATCATATTTCACAAGGTTTTCTGAACATTTTTTTTTGAAGCAGAAAACTCTACTGTTGCCATTCGCGTAAATGTATGCATTCGCGAACCAATATGCAAAAAACTCCAAAAATAATATTTGAGTGATAGTGACAGGACTTGTAAAATAAATGTATTCATCGTTTTACAGCCAATTAGTTTAAATGGAAATTTTCTTAACGTTAAAATCAGAGCTTTCGAATCGACAGACTCATCATCAGCGAAGAATGAAAAGAACTCGTTTACAGATATACATATAACTTACATATATGAGCATACTGGAAAGTCGTGATGGGCCTCAGGCCACACGCGTATGGAAATGAGAGTACAAATAGAAATACAAAAGAATGAAGTACAATAAAATACAATGAACGCAGAGTAAATGAAGAAGGACAAAAAACAAACATGCAGAGACAGAAGTACTAGGTTTTACTATTTTACTTTTTCTGTTTCACATTTCATTTTTTATTCACAATGCCTTCTAGAAACACAAAAATGGTACTGAGTATTCATGTCATGCAGAGCGGGGATCGAACCACGCATCTTCCGATTACCGGTCGACTGTTCTGATAATTGAGCTATCTGGTATACTCCAACTACCAACTACTAAAGTTTCACAGAAAATTACCAAAACAACGCAAACCGATGGACAGACTCTGCCATAAAATGGTATTTTATTTATTTATTTATTTTCTTATAAAAATAAGAAGCGACTAAAAATTCGAGCAGATGAGAGATTCCGCAGCACTGATCACAGAAAATTCACAAATCACTCACCCATACTGTGGAGCTACTACAGAGAACTAAAACAAACACAGTCAGCTGTTATTGTCTCATCTCCCATAGTTTCATAGAAATGTAATTCAGCAAAATCGAATTTTAGCAATCCTAAGCAAAGATAAACCTAATACCTACATAATATGTGGTATCAATACTTGCTGAATCACGGACATCTGAACATAAAAGGACGTTAAAAGAGCAGACATACATTTAACACATAATTTACGTAGATCAGATAGGATATTTAACAATAAAAACAATGGTCTAAGTGGCCATGTAACTAAAAATTATGATCAACAAAAGTTGAGAAGAAGTGATCGAATTGCTAAAAGAAACTTAGCAATAACAACTCAACATAAACAGATTACTTCATTAAATGATACAGGGTACTTCCATTAAGGTCCGGCCACTATTACATGACATAAGAGCCACAAAAATTTCAAGACTCCCATATTTGTTTGCTAAAAGAGTCATATTCTACATGCGTTTTTAGGGATGCGAAGTTTTAACCTTCCCTCTAATAAAGCAACTTTGATCTTGTTTTTCTTTACATCTGTAGAGCGTACACCACCACTTGACATACCACGCGAACGAGCATCTCGAGTAGTACAAATACTGATATTAAAAACTTGTCCTACAACTTTTTCAAGGACAGGCCAACAGTCGTAAAATGTCTGAAAATGAAAAAACCACATTCAGTATTTCATCTCCTCGGAAGGCAAAACAAAAGAAACAATTCTTGCTTATAGTTAGTGAAAAAAAAAGAATCCCGTTCCATAAAAAGTCTGTTCTTTTTGCTGCATTACTTCTCTTCGAAACAGATGGAGATGAGACAATAACAACTTTCTGCAACGAGGCTGCAGTACGGAAACTTCGCACCACATACACACATCCTCAACAGCTCTCCTCAGACTTTATCTTGGGTGATCCTTCAGATTTTTACGTCACAAAATCGATTCTAAAGAAGCTTTTCGTGTTAAAATCACTGATTAATTGATTCTAATAACTGGTGTCTTCACACGTTTCGGTCCGGTTAACACGAACAAATTACCTTTATTTAACGATACATTTGCTCAGGAGCATTCAAGATACGTGATGCAAAAACCTATTTTTTCTCTCGCGCAACATTACATAGCTTTGGGAAGAGTTATAACCAGTAGAAGAAACTTCTCTTAAAAAATATTCATTCTGTTAAAATACAAAGATTTTTCCACGACAGCGTCCGTTCTGCGTCGAACGATGCTATCGAACTTGCTTGGTCTGATAGAAAATGTGTGCTCTACGACGCTGGTTCTTGCTGAGTACGTGTAGTAAATTCCTTAAGCACTGCAAATCCATGTTCTAAATCAGCTATCAAATCGACGATATCTTCGAGTCCAATATGAATACGCACGATGCAACCGCCGAACTTGTTTCCTGTGATACTTCGCGTGACCGGTGTCGAAACAAGAACCAGACTTTCGAAGCCACCCCAGGATAGACCAATGCCGAATATCTTTAAATTATCGACAAATGCATGCGTTGCCTCCACGGTATAGTGCGACTTAAAAACAATGCCAAACAGGCTACTGGCGCCCGTAAAATCGCGTTTCCATATCTCATGTCCAGGAGCACCGGGTAATGGTGGATAGAGGACTTGCAAAATTTCTTCTCGTTTCGCCAGCCACTGTGCCACTTGGAGAGCTGCTTGAGCTTGAGCTCGCAATCGTACGGCAAGTGTTCGCAAGCCTCGCAATGCTAGCCAGCTATCGTCCGGACTAGCATATTGCCCATATAAGAAAGAGGTCTGACGAATGCGCTTCCAGTCATCATCACTGCTTGTGGTGATGCTACCCAAGAGAATGTCAGAGTGGCCACCTGCGTATTTGGTTAGGGCCTGAATTGACACATCAACGCCATGGGTGAATGGTTGAAAATGGTGAATGCCCCATGTATTGTCGAGCACCACTTTGGCGCCATGCGACTGTTTGCAAACTATGTGTAGGCACGTTTCCTTCATGTGCCCCCAATACTAGGGCTTTGGTCCGTGCCGATGTAGACAAAGGGTTCAATAGAAATCAGAAATGAAGATGTAACTGTTTTAACCGAAAACTGACTGACCGAGGACCAAAATGGGAGAATTTTGTTAAGAAATGGTTCAATCTAGAACGGAAAACTTGATTGTCTTATTTTCATGCGAACATGCATGGCCCCCTGACGTCTTTTAGAAGGCTCCTCTCTGAAAAAAATAAAGGACCCCCCACAAAACCTTAAAGAATCGGCAGAAGTATAGCGAATCATGAGAAAATTCAGTAGCTAACCATGGATCCCTCGATGCATCGGTAGACTTAAAAGGTTCGGGGGCATATAGTTATAAGGGATTCATACCAGAAAAGAGATCGATACGGATCCCTTTTTGCAGTGACAAGAGTAGCATGTTCGGTACGCTTTATCTTTGTCCAGAGTAGGCTACATGGTTTTTGAAAGCTGCCATGGGCATGAGCGACACGCGCAATCCCAGGTATGTCCTGAACTTCAAACGTATGACTACCGGGGCTTTCGGTATAGATAACTTTGGTGGTTGTTTCCTTCAATAATGCAGAAGTTAGGTCACTCTCATTGATGTTTGGATCATAAAAAGTGGTCAAAATACCGAAACGGGTGAGCGCTTCGAGCGTAAACAGCCGTACCGGGCCATACACACTATCCGACATGAAAAGATGATCGCCCTGTTTCAGGTAGGCGAGTAATGTTGTTGTCACTGCCGACAGTCCAGTTGAGACGATTTGAGTTCGCGTACCTCCTTCAATATCAGTGATCATGTTTTCGAGAGCGTAGTGAGTTTCAGCACCAAGTCTACCATAAATCAGGACTTGTTCCAGTTTTTGTGTATATTTGTTGATGCGATCATCTATAGTTGCATGTAGTACCGTCGAACCCCGTGAGACAGGCGGATTGACAAAACCATATGTACGTGCACCAGCTCGTCCCTCATGGGAAAGTCTTGTATTGAAACCAGCAGCAGCCTTCTGGTTACAGCTGCTGTCAGCCACCAATACTGGTACTGGTGTTGTTTCGCTCATCGTCAGAGAGCGATTTAATCTTCAACAAAGAATGATCTGAGTACGTTTGAACAATCTCAGCACGATCAGAAAACTAACGTCAAAAATGGTTGTAG